TATAGGCCGTCAACAGTGAGGGAGTAAGACATCCCAGTCATCTTGGTGGCTATTACAAAACTTTGCCAACTCCTGTCCAAGTGTCCAATTGACTTTCTACCATCCCATCGTACTGTGGATGAAGTAGCATTGTCTTGGTCTTTCGTATGCCAAACAACTTGCAGCATTCGTGGAACACAGCTGATTCAAAGTTACGGCCTTGATCTGAATGCAGTTCGTATGGCATACCAAACTTGAAGATGAAATCACTAACAGCCAAAGTTACAGTTGTGGCTTCCTGATTTGGTATTGCATATGCCTCAGACCACTTGGTGAAATAATCCATCACCACACAAATGTACTTGTTTCCAGCACGAGTTTGGGGCAAAGGACCAGCAATGTCAACAGCTACTCTTTCCATTGGCGCACCAACTTGTTATAACTTCATTGGAGCACGTCCCTTATGCTTGGGTCCCCTTTTAGCATAGCATGTACTGCATGTCCTGCACCATTCTTCCACATCTTGCCTCATACCTATTCAGTAATATCTCTGTCATAGGTGACTCAATGTCCTCTTAACTCTGAGATGTCCTCCTGTTAAACTATCATAGGATTGACGCAGCACAACTTCTTGTAACTTTCTCAGTACAACTGTTTGCCAGCTCGTCACTTTCCCATCTGCAGTTTCCCATTTCCAGAAAAGAATACCACATTGAAGTTTCAACTGGTCCCATGATGCCCAGTAGTTCTTTGTCCCAGGGCTTAAGCTAGACACCTTCTCCCAAGCAGGGCGCAAAACACTTGCTTTTAGAAAATCAATTTTTGGCTTCAAATCTTGGTCTTTCTCCTGCTCTGCTTTGATATCTATACCTGGTTCCACTTCACCATCATCAACTCCTTCAGTCACTTTAACTTCAGCTTGATGGCACCTGGTTAGTTCAACCTCTCTTTTAACACTTACCGGAATTTGACCTTTGTTGTTCCCAAACGCCATTTTATCAAAGCTAACTACACACTTCCTCGGTAGTAAGTAGTCCAACCCTAATATGCATTGGTCTTCAATGTCAGCCAAGTAAACTTTGTGTCTGTCCTTTATGTCCATGAGCTTAATAGTTACCCACACTGGTACCCACAAACTTGCATAATGTCCTGTCACACCACAGAGCTTCTGTATGGCTTCTGGTACTCCTTTGTGATCCAGCACTTTGATACTCACAAGGGTTTGCTGAGATACAGAATCTATGACAAAGTTGCACTTTTGACCATCCAGCTTTCCTGTCATGTAGACACTATGTGTGCTTGCCATTTTACACTTAGCTGTTAGGACTTTCACGATGGGGGTTGGTGGGCGTGCCTCAGCACCTACCATATACTGGTTTCCCGAAGCTGACTTATTGGTGGTATTCTTCTTACACTGGCTCATCATATGTCCTTGCTCTCCACAGTTCCAACAACCTTTCTGGGTAGCAGCCTTTCCTGCTGTGGCATCTCCTCTATTTTGAAGTTGCCATCATTGAGCTCTCTTGTGCACAGGTTTGTTACAGTGCCAGCAAAGTCCCTCAAACTTCTCTGAAAGCTGCCCTTTTCTGGCCTTGATTCCTGATGACTGTACCAACCTTGGTACCTCTGTGCTGGACTTAATGTAGGATTCGAATTCAAGAGCTTTGGCCATTGCATCCTGCATAGTAGAGGGATGTGCTTGCTTTACTTGTATCTTCAGTTGTGGACAATCCAAGGCATCTACAAACTGATCCCTCAGCAACAGCTTGAGGACATCGGGTGGTGCAGTTGGGTAGGCCTTGTGTGCCATACTTTCCAAATCCTGTGCCAGCTCTTGCAGGCTCTCCCCTTTAACATGGACTCTAGTCCTAAACATAGCCCTATAGACTTCAGACTGATTTGGGGTTCCATACCTGATTTCTATAGCAGCTACCAGTGCCCTATAGTTGTGCCTGTCGTCTGCTGACAACTGTTCAAGTATTTTTAGTGGTTGTCCCTTCAGAGTCATTGCCAGGTACACTGATTTCTGCTCCTCTATTCATCTATTCATTTCTACCAGAAGCTCAATTTGTGCTCTATTTGCTTCCCTTCGAATTCCCGTAGCTTCCTTCATATTAAATTACCCCTATTACTGACAGTCATGTCTGGAATGTGACTTCTGGCAGGACTGGAGATGTCTGCATTAGGGTTTAGCTGCAAGATCTGGAAGGGGCTTCCTGTTGTTTGGGGCTGATTAGGTCCATGGCTAATATATCCTCCCTGTGTAAAGGACAGTAAATCGGCCTTTAATGTATTTAATTCACTTTAAAATTTACTAATCTTTTCCATTTGTGTATGCTGGCTTTCTCTCAGCTGTTGGAGACTTTCTTCCTGTTTCTTTTCTCGTTCTTCTTGTTTCCTTTCTTGTTCCAGTTGCCACTGTTGCTGGTTTTCTTGCCACTGCTGTAGCCTCTCTTCTTGTTTATTTTCTTTCTCCTACAACCACTGCTGTAGTCTCTCTTCTTGTTTATTTTCTCGTTCTTGTTGTTTCTTTTCTTTTTCCTCCAACAACTGCTGTAATCTCTGTTCTTGTTTCTTTTTTCGTTCTTCTTGTTTCTTTTGCTCCCCCCTCTCAGTGGCACAGCAGTATGTCTGCAGACTTACAATGCTAGAATCCGGGTTTTGATACATATGGTGGGCAGAGCACAGGTGGCCCATTGTATAGCCTTGTGCTTATATACAAACAAACAATTCTTTTGTTGTTTTTATATTGCTGTCATCAGATCTGATAAGCTGTAGTTTGATTTGCCACTCCTCGTTTCCATCTTCTTTTCTTTTTTTTCTTTACCGTCCCACTCTCTGACACCAATTTGTTAAGTATCTGCTTGTTTGTTAATTTCCGGTAGAAATTCTTTCCTTTCTTGATTAAACCAGTTTATTCTTTCTCGATTCAAACTTTTAGTATACAGTAATTACACAGTCAGTAAGTTTCTCATCACTTTAAATTTAACTACTTGTGTAATACACGCTATAAATCACAGTGATTCATAATCTCGATAATTTCGCTTTCTACGAGTGCAAAACACTAGCTCGAAACAGAGTCGTAAATTACCCGAAACTCTCTTCATTCATTCATTAATTGTTGGCTTTCTCTGCCAGCCTTAAATATCAACGAAGGGGGCGTTTCGAATACACTCGGGCCTCCCCGATCATTTATGATCATTCGAGAAATTCAGTCACGCATGCGTCAGCAGAATCACGTGACTTCCGCTGTTGTAACACAGTGTTGTTAGATCTGGAAGAAGATTGGCAGAGATTCAAATGAATAAAATCGAAGGAAGAGCGAGAGGCAGGCAAAGTCTCGTTTGGCTCATGAAATTTAAATACGGAAATGGAGAGTAAAAGCTTGAATTAAGAAAGTTAGTTCATACACGAGGAAGAGAGAACAATGGAGAACCATAATTTGGATAAAAAAAATAATAAAGAAAAAATGGACATGTCTAAATAAGAAATTTTGTCAATATATTCTTTATTGTTTTCACTGGACACCAGAGGGGTACATGTTTTGTCATGTGCGACCATAGAGATGATAAAGGTCAATGTGTGTGAATGTTAATAAGTTAATGGGCAGAAACTGCTTATCAGGTTTGAAAAAGGATAATTAAATATATTTCTTAAAACAACAGTGAAACTGAAAGATTTAAAATGCATCTTCGTGCGCGAGCTGCAGGACTGACACTAGTTTTAGTGTGTTTAATATCACTAGGAACCATTATTTTAAGAGCTGTTTTAATCGAAAAACCCCGTGCCCCTTCAAAATGTACAAGCACGGATAATGATTTTATCAGTGAGACAAGAGGACTTTCATTAAGATTAGCAGAAGCAATTCGATTTAGGACTATTTCTTGGGCTGTGCAAAAGTATGAAAGAGAAGAATTGAAGAAATTTGGAGAATTTATAAGAAAAAGTAAGTGTTTTTTATAAATAAAGGAAATTGTTATACTTTCTTTCTCGTTACTGCTGTTGACTGTTATTTTTACTGAAAAATATAGTAATGAATATCGTAGGGCCAAATCTTGAATGGTATTGTTAACCTATCGTTATATGTCAATATATTTATTACAAAATGGGAATTTTTGTATATTCTTTATGTCAGTGTGTATTTAAGTTTTAATATATGTGTATGTCAGTTCTAACGTTATCAGACCTTTAAATATATAAAATTTTACCTTGTAAATTGTAGTTTTAACACGGTGTCATTAAGGGTTAAGTTAGTAATACTTATACTGTCAGCATAACTACCACAGTCTTCTGAACTCTAGTGGTTTCCAAACTGTCCTGAAACACTAATGTGTTGCAGCAAGTTGCTTGGGGTGTCACTGTGTTTCACCAAATGAAGAATAATTAAGAACATAAAAACTTTACAAAAGAAAACAAAAAAATACTACATCTTATCTAAAACTATAAATACACATTTTTTTAAAGTAATAAAATAATTGTTGAACAAAAGTCTTCAGGATCTAAAAAGATTTGTAACTCAACTAGGTTTTACAATTTAGTATTTCAAGGTACATTTAGGAATATTTTTGTAACTCACAAATTCATATGTACATATTTTTAGAATACTGTTTAGTTTTTGTGCAATCAAGTTAACCAAGTCCATAAATTTTACATCTTACAAAAATTTTGAAAAATATATTTACTTCTAAAGAATGTAATATACAGGACTTTATATGTAGTATATATATATATATATAAAAGCTTTTGCAAACACATTTTTGCTTTAGCATCCTCCTTAAAAACTTCATAATTTTCTGGAAACAAATTACTTAAACGACTCCTCAAAATTTGCAATGGAACAAAATATGACATTGTCATTTACAGAAACAAATGAAACTTTGCAAGTTATTTATATTCTGATATTCTTATGATCTAAGAAGAAGGGCTAAAGACTTGTTCTCAAAGTTAAGTGTTTGAAATTATAGGTGGGTTGAATAAATTGTCTGTTTGGAGGCCTGTTTTAATGGGGAAGTGATATGGTTGGGAATGGAAAATTTAATATTAAGAGTTAAAGAGCGTAATTGTTAGACGCTCATGTCTGGACTTGCTTTTCAGAGTCTACGAGAGGTACGACCTATGGAATAGTTTATCTAATGAAGCATGTTATGTTTGAAATTGGTAAAATGGAATTTTAACATGGCATACAGATGATAAAGGACCATTTGGTCTTTGCACACCTACTATTGAAATATGCAAGAATTTAAACCTACCCTTTATTTTTCAGGAAATTATGAATTCCTCTCATAAACTTCTCAATTAGAACTTTAAAGATAAGGGCTGGATGTAAGAAAAGGGGCTTTTATGTGTAGTTTTGTGTAAGGTACAGTAGTAGTAAATCAAAATATATCATAAATGGGTAGTGTCTTGAAAATGAAATAAAACAATTGATGGAAATATAAACTGAAATAAAAGGGTAAGCCCCCCCCCCAAGATTCAAGTATAAAACAGCAATAACCTCTACAAGGGCTTTGTCCATCTCTGAACTAAATAATTGGTTTAAATATTACTTATACAGCCATAGCAAAGAGTGTGAACCTTGGACCTTCTGAATCATAGGCCATCATGCAAACCATTAGGCTGTGTCTAACCTTACATTAAAATTAGTATATACATTTTTATAATTATTTCAACTACTGGTGGGTAGTTATGCTGTACACAAATGCAAAGAGTAATATTTGTTTTGGTTAGTTTGTGTGTTACTGTGACTTTCTTGTGATTTCCTTTTTTATATGTCTTAATTATGGAAAGCCTGTCATTGTCATTAGCACAAACATACTATGGCCATGACCCATGACCTCAGGCATCTCATCAGGGTTGAGTCATTCAGTTTGTGCAAATCTGGTGAGATTTGTTTAAAATTTGATAATTTCAGAGAGTTATTACATTTCTATAAGAATTAAGAGGTCAGTATATAATAAATAAATCAGAGTAGATAGGACATTATGCTTAGCACCATCAAAAGGTAGAAAGTTTCTAACTTAGAGGTGTTTATATTCTTGACCAAGTGACAAATATTTCCTAGTTATGCCAGTGACCACTGTGGTTCCTTTTTGTGTGTGTAATGACAGCATGTATTTAGAGTTTGTATCATAAAAAAATCCTTCTATACATAGAGTGAAGATATACACACCCAGTCCTATAAAGTTGGTAGTTCACTGACTGAGTTAGTCTTTTTTACTCAAGTTTCAAAATGCCAATTTTATGATTGAATAAATATTGATATTGTTTAAGTTTGAATTGCCAGAGGTAACAATTATTTTTCTCTAGGTTTTCCTCTTATCCATTCTGCACCTTATGTTAACAGAGAAGTTATCAACGAGCTGAGTTTGTTGTACACTGTCAAGGGAACTGATTCTTCACTGAAACCGTATCTGCTAGCTGGACATTTGGATGTGGTTCCTGTTGATTCCAATCTGTGGGAAGTACCTCCGTTTGACGGTAGAGTGGTCAATAAAACCTACGTATATGGCAGAGGGACGATAGATGCTAAACACATTGTAATGGTAAGAATGTCAGATTGTTTTTACTCGTACTTTCAGTAACTCCTGAAGAGATTGTAAGCTAGCTTGTATTCTGTAGATAAAAATCATGTTGGTAGTAACTGTATTTTTTTTAACCTATGTAGACATTCTCAATGTTATTTGTTATACAACAAACTAACCACACTCACCCAATTCACAGCTGGAGGAGATTGGGAACACTGTCATAATACTGTCACTTAGTAAAAGCTAGTACTATAGTTTGTTTTAATGCCATTGACATACATTTTTTCAGGTAGAATCTTACAGGCACAATATGATGTTGAACTGCATTCCACCAAGATAATGTGGTCTATAATGCCTTATTAGGTAGAGCTTCGTCTCTTAACTGATATTATGTATGATATACTTAACATTATTATCAGGGGAAGTAAATCTTATGAAGCTGTGCAATAGTTGACCTCAGATCAGGTGAAATAAATGTTATAAGGCTGTGAAATAGTTAACTTCAGATCAGGTGAAATAAATGTTATAAGGCTGTGCAATAATTAACCTCAGATCAGGTGAAATAGTCTTATGAAGATGTGAATTATATGACTAAATCCCCCTTCTTACCTGACTATTTCTAACATCTAAGTGTTGATACATCATGTTGTTTTTATTAGTACAGCTGTATATTTAGGTGTGACTTGATGTAACTTTGTTTCCTTACCTTATGTTCTAACATCTAAGTGTTGATACATCATGTTGTTTTTATTAGTACAGCTGTATATTTAGGTGTGACTTGATGTAACTTTGTTTCCTTACCTTATGTTCTAACACCTAAGTGTTGATACATCATGTTGTTTTTGTTAGTACAGCTGTTTATTTAGGTGTGACTTGATGTAACTTTGTTTCCTTACCTTATGTTCTAACATCTAAGTGTTGATACATCATGTTGTTTTTATTAGTACAGCTGTATATTTAGGTGTGACTTGATGTAACTTTGTTTCCTTACCTTATGTTCTAACATCTAAGTGTTGATACATCATGATGTTTTTATTAGTACAGCTATATATGTAGGTGCGACTTGATGTAACTTTGTTTCCTTACTTTATGTTCTAAATGCAACTGACTTGCGGGTTTGTTTGTGTAAAGCTGTATCTACATGCACAACTTTGGATAAATGTAAATGAATTGCATTTTATGTCTAGATGGTACTACTGTTTTCACAGACATCAAAATGAATTATTTGAATATGTGTTCAAGACATTAATACTAAGAAGTTCCTGTAGTCAGTGCCAAAGCTGATAAAGCATGAGAATTTTTAGGGTAATAAATGTGATTAAGTATTACCTCAGGACTGCACACATTTTATAAATTAGTTTCTCATTCTCGCCATATAAGGGAGAAACTCTTAAGGTAATCATAATCTTTTGGAATTTTTAAGGGTGTTATATGGGAAGACTTTTTTTTTTTTCCAAAACTGTTCAATTTCATCATTCATGCTTGTTTTAGAACAGTACTTGTATTTATAAAAGTGTGAAACTTTTCTTACAGGGAATTTTGGAAGCTTTGGAGTTTCTTCTGGAAAAAGGATATCAACCTAAAAGATCTTTCTATATTGCATTCGGCCATGATGAAGAGGTGTGTTATGCTATTATGTTTAAAGTTTACACATCAGTATTATTGTAACCTCTGTACACTGTATATATGGAGTGTAGAAATATATAAAAGTATAATATTGTATTTATGCATGCAAAGTAAACAGTGTACAGGTCTTTCTGTAGAATATATTATTATATAATTAATACTTCTGACTTTTGAATGCCCCTACACGAATTTCGCCAAAGTTATGAGCAACCAGCTACAGCTGATGAAAATATTTTGCATTTATCTTCTGAGTTAAAGATTTGATATTACATTTTTTTTTATTTTTGAGTATGACATATGGACAGAAAATGGTCTAGTAAGATAAGAGTTACTGAATACAATTCATATGTAATAGTCTCCATGTGTGTGTTCATATATATACGTTTTACAGAAATCAAACTTTTCTAGCTGCAGTGAACTTAGTAGACTAACAGCTAATCATAGAAAGGTATGTATGTATGTGTGTTTTACTTAAATTTGTGTTTCATATTTTTCAGTTTTTTTATTCTTAGGATGTCCACAAATGTAGAAAACTTGAGGCATCAGAAGAATGTAAAATGGTAGATGAAAAAAACATGACCAAAAACATACTTTGAATGTTAACAGTTTAAATTTACAAAGTGTCAGTTACTTGGAGTATTTTTTTTTTTTTTGAAGAAGTTGGGTATGCAACATGATTCATTTTGCTGACAGGTGTTCATGAATATTTTTATCTGTCTATCTATATTTACACATTGAAAGTAATTGGATAGAAATACCTGTAACTGTACCTTTCCATTTCATATATCATGACTCTGATCTTTAGGTCACTGGTGTGGATGGAGCAGCACAAATATCAAAAGTCCTGCAAGAACGTGGCGTTCAACTGGAGTATATTCTTGATGAAGGTATGATGGTACTTAACGGAACCATTCCTGGAGTCGATGTACCAGTTGCAACGTAAACATATTTTTTAATTTCTACTGTATTTATAAGTACTGAGTGAAAATATTTTAACGTTAAATGACTACTATGTAATATTATTCATAAGTATAAACTGTGTGATGCCCCTGTTATGGATGATGTGATATGAAAGAAAAATGGAAAGCAGTATTGAATATAAATTATGGGGTATTAAAGAACCTTTTGATTCATCATGAATATTCTGACTAATCACTAAATATAGCCTTGATCCATAAATATTTACCAACCCTTTTCTTAAACTCCTATAACGTTGAAAGCTTCTACAACTATAAATGGCTGTTTGATCTCTGGATTTACTAACCTATGGGTGAAATAAATTGCTTCCAACTGGAGATACACATGACCGTTCAAGTATTAAATTTATAATCTCTTGTTGTACTGCCCTCTGAACTCAACATGAAACATGATGCCTCTATATTATCAATTCCCCAAATAATTTTGAAGATTGCCAATAGATCTACAGACTTTGATCTTTTTAAGAGATGATAACAAGGTAAGAGATCTCTACTTCGTATGACGATCCATCCATTCCCGGTATCATCCTAGTAACTCTCTTCTAAACCCTTTCCAATGACTCGGTATCCTCTTTCAAGATAGGTACTATAAACAATACTCCAAGTAACGTAATTATAAGATTTTCATTTCTGCAGCCAGAATATATTACACTAAATGCTTAAGACTAACCAGCTGCTGGGAACATACTTTCAGTGTGTCCTAAATGTTACTGCATTTGTTGTATTTATTATTAATTAAGGTAAGATAGTCAGATTTGTACATAATGCATGTCAGTTTTGTTTTTAACTGTGTGATTATGTAGGGTCGGAGTGACAGAAAAGGGATCCTTAAGTGTTAAGCTTACAGTGAATGGCACCCCTGGGCATTCTTCTTTTCCACCTCCGGAAACTGCCATTGTCGTCTTGGCTAAAGCCTTAAGCAAGTAAGTTTTTGCAGAGAATATGACATTTTCTGTATATACTTTATCTCACTGCTTTTCAGGTATTTTCATGTTTTGTTGTGCATTATTTAGCCGACCAACAATGTATTGTCAGTAATTAATGAACAGTCTGATTACTCTTCGTTGGTATGTTCATATTTGTTCTGAAAGATACTTAACCAAAATAACCACCATGTATTGGGTTGGATCAGTGTAGGCTCTCCATTTTATCAACCACATCACCATTACAAGGATCACAGTAGGCTCCTCATTTTACCAACCACATCACCATTACAAGGATCACAGTAGGCTCCTCATTTTACCAACCACATTACCATAAAAGGATCACAGTAGGCTCCTCATTTTACCAACCACAGCACCATATCAGGATCACAGTAGGCTTCTCATTTTACCAACCACATCACCATTACAAGGATCACAGTAGGCTCCTCATTTTACCAACCACATTACCATAAAAGGATCACAGTAGGCTTCTCATTTTACCAACCACAGCACCATATCAGGATCACAGTAGGCTTCTCATTTTACCAAGCACATCACCATTACAAGGTTCACAGTAGGTTCATCATTCTATTAAACAATTTATTGATTCACAAAATTCAGAACCTTCTTGAAAAACAAAATGTAACTGAGTTAGGTAAAGAACCTTCACAAAAATTAAATGAACCTTACCAAAAAATGTTTTCTACTACAAGCATGTGGTTGTCCTCTGGAAAAGGTCATTGTCTGTACCATTGTTTTATGGTTAAGTATTTCAGTAAACAGAACTTGATAAAGTCAAGGACAGGCTGTTTCTTATCTGTTTTGGAAATCTAGATCCATATTGTTTGCACATGTTCTTCAGAAACTGCAAAATTATTTTCAAAGCCACTAAATTGTCACGTTTGTATTCCTTTCCTCTGTGTATATTATGTATATAAAATTACCATACAAGAAATATAGAAATTTATAGCTCAAGTTTAAGTCAATTTATCTGATTTTTTAACTTTTACAAAACAAGAAACTAAAACTTTTACTTGGTTTATTTTTCCTGCACTCACTAGCAGTCACATGGAGACCACCTGCCAAATCTCTTAATGAATATGTTTTCTTTAAGATTGGAAGGCTCCTGTCACCCCAGTATGTTTGGAAAAGGACCCGAGAGAACAATGTTAGAGGCTCTGGCACCTTACGTAAGTTTAATTTAGGCTTCTCTGTGCAGAAATTTATGTTAGCATTTCTCATCATTAAGAACTTTATTATACACCAGAATATGACAGGTGTTTAAATTGAAGCAATTGGATATTTCTGAGGGAATTTTACAATTGCTTCAGTATTTTAGCATTTTAAAAGAGTTCAAGAAAGAAGTTATAACAATTTTCTGAGTTTTTAAGTGAACATATACATGAAGAAATGGCGAAAGTAAAGACGCCTGTATTGCAAAATAAGGTCGAGAGCTAGAAAGTACAACTAGCTGGTTAAGTATTGTTGAGAATCACGAGTTAGTGAATCATGACTTAAGAATTACAAAAAATGAAGATATTGCCTAGAAACGAAGTGAGTGCACTAGCACCCGTGATGGGTTGTGATTAATTACTGACGCTAACTCGCTAGTACTGTGGAGGCTACGAAAAAGTTGATGTTGGCACGAAAAGTGGTACTTTGATGACATATTTCTTACATGACACTAGTATACCAGCACAAGTGAAAAGGCAACCGCCTAACTCACTACAACAGTAACCAATCATTTGAGAGTTTTGGTTATGGTTTTGGACTAGCCCAGGAAGTTTCACAGATCGACCAATAAAATGTTAGAACTACTTGTAGGTAGTTAGAAATACTGTTTGGAAGGTCAAAAGAATACGGGTTAAAAACTAGTGTCTGAAGCCAAAAAATCAGTTCTTGCCAGCTCTTACCAGTTTTTCAGCTGTTCCTCCAGTCTTGTTCGAGTGATTGCACCATGAATATGAAGGTCTCAAACCTCAAAAAGTATACTGGCCCAGCTCTGTTGTAAGTATAGAATTGTTATTTCTCTTGATCAATTAATGTAGTTAATAGTAAAGGATATTCATGTTTGTATTAAGGGAATATACTCTATATGTACTAGTTATTAATATTGATTAAAAGTAATAGTAAAAGTTATGAGAAGATAATGATTAATAAACTTTTGATTAATATTGTATGTTATGTGGAAAAATTTAATAAATGTTATTATAATTTGTTCAATGCTAGTCGGTTACTCTGTTTCTTTATTCTAACTGTAAATTACTTTGAGTTAGCAACTTGTGAGCTACATTCACCACTCTAACTGTAAATTACCTTGAGTTAGCGACTTGTGAGCTACGTTCACCACTCTAACTGTAAATTACTTTGAGTTAGCAACTTGTGAGCTACGTTCACCACTCTAACTGTAAATTACTTTGAGTTAGCAACTTGTGAGCTACGTTCACCACTCTAACTGTAAATTACTTTGAGTTAGCAACTTGTGAGCTACATTCACCACTCTAACTATAAATTACCTTGAGTTAGCAACTTGTGAGCTACATTCACCACTCTAACTATAAATTACCTTGAGTTAGCGACTTGTGAGCTACATTCACCACTCTAACTGTAAATTACCTTGAGTTAGCGACTTGTGAGCTACATTCACCACTCTAACTGTAAATTACCTTGAGTTAGCAACTTGTGAGCTACATTCACCACTGCAAATCCTCAACTAAATAAATTTGATGTAATCGGGAGTATAATTGAAACTCCAACAATTAGCCCTAAGGGCACTGCCCATTACAAAATCATCTTATTGAGACATTACGTGTGCATGTTTATAAACAAGTATAACATCAGAATTCACTCAAAAACACAGTCAACTAATTACATGTACTCTTCAGAAGCCATTCACCCAACTTCCTTATTCAGTGGTTCAACATCGTGTTGTATGTCTGTCACCAAGCTGTGTTTAACTGTAACCAAGATGATTTATTGTGATTAATATAGACACACACAGCATGGCTCAAAAGTAGGTATACAGTTGTTAATTGATAATTTATTTAACAGTATTTTACACAGGACATGGAATTATGGGAAAGTTAACCTCAACTTAATCCCGCATGTGTTCAAATGGAAACCCGTCACTGTTCAAACAATCCTGGAGTCTGTCTGCCACACTTCTGCAAACTTTCTAACACAAGTCTGTCTGTCCATCAAGTTCTGTAAATGCATCTGTGACATATCCTTTCATTTTATCAACTTTCTCTGATCTACTGCCATACACTTTGGCTTTGAGTACTCCCCAGAAGAAAAAGTCCGTATGAACTGTATACCTACTTTTGGGCTGTGCTGTGTGTGGGTCTATATATATATGGAAGGCCTTGTTAACACTGGATATAGCAGATATATTTGGTTGACATGTTATAACATTCTATTTTGATTTAACTCATGGTTTCTTAGAATAGTATGCTAGTTATCAACCTTAACTATAGTGTTACTTGGAAGTGCTTTCTGATTTTAAAAGCAGTGAATTTGGTAATTAAGTGTACTTTTAACCAGCATCATACCTAAAGGATACTAGACTATACTGCCATTATAAACTGGAATAAGTTTAATGTTAACAACAGTGTTATTTCATATTGGCCTGTATTTGAGTTTAACCATGAAGGCTGGACAGGGCCACTGACGGGTTCTGGTGAAACTTTTACTGGCATAGCAAGTCAATAGTGGATATCCAAATTGCTCAAGTTATTCCAATGGGATATAAACAGATGGCCCGAAAGGATGAATGGACTGACAAACTTCAACAACTATGAGTAAGAATAATGGATAAAATAGGAAACATGGAACGTATGGGGACTCCGAGAGAAAAGAAAAACAAAGATTGTGGAATTCATGGTAAGCCATAAGATAACAGTTATGGGCATGTCAGACTGCAGAAGAAAAGGACAAAATATGAAAGAAAAAATCAGAATTATATTCTAATATGGGAAAAAAATCCAGCAAATACATTGAAAAGTAAAGAATTAAGTTGTTTGGCCAAATAGTGAGAATGCAGTCCAACCAACCAGTGGCACAAGCACTTAAAATAAGATTCAATACCAGATGGTGACCCACGAAGAAATGATCAATGGCGTGACTGAGACTTTAAGCAAATATAGAGTTGCACTGACAGAGGCCTCTTGCCTTGCTTTGGAATGGCAACTGTATCTTCCTGCAATGCTCAATGGCAGATGCAGAGGGAAAAAGTAAAGTAAGATTAGTTAAGAATAATTTATTCCAACATCAAGCACATTACTGCAATAAATAAAGATAACTAAAGAGGTTCACAGTTTCCAACAGAACTTTGGTGTGTTATATTCAGTTATACTGTTTGACCAGAGATTTCAGATAATTTCCTGGCTTCTTTCACTCTGGTTAACAAACATTCACTTTGTCATTGCAGGCATCATTCCCCTTCAAGGTGGTGTATTCAAACATCTGGTTCTTTTCACCATTATTGTCTTGGTAACTATAGAAAATCTGTTTCTATTATCCATTAGTGTCCTAATAACAATAGAAAATCTGTTTTGATTCTAAATTAGTATCTTGGTATCTCTACAAAATCTGGTATCTATAGAAAATTTGCTTCTATTTGCCATTAGTGTGTTGATAACTATAAAAAATCTGTTTCTATTAGCCATTAGTGTCTTGGTAACCACAGAAAATCTGTTTCTATTAGCCATTAGTGTCTTGGTAACCACAGAAAATCTGTTTCTGTTAGCCATTAGTGTCTTGGTATTTACAAAATCTGTTTCTATTTGCCATTAGTGTCTTGGTAACTATAGAAAATCTGTTTCTATTTGCAATTAGTGTCTTGGTAACTATGGAAAAATCTGTTTCTATTTGCCATTAGTGTCTTGGTAACTATGAAAAATCTGTTTCTATTTACTATTAGTCTTGATAACTATGGAAAAATCTGTTTCTATTTACTATTAGTGTCTTGATAACTATGGAAAAATCTGTTTCTATTTGCTATTAGTGTCTTGGTAACTATAGAAAAATCTGTTTCTATTTGTTATTAATTGTCTTGGTAACTATGGAAAAATTTGTTTCTATTTGCCATTAATGTCTTAATAACTATGGACAAATCTGTTTGTACTTGCCATTAGTGTCTTATTAATAATGGAAAAATCTGTTGGTATTTACCATTAGTGTCTTATTAACAATGGAAAAATATGTTTCTATTTGCTATTAGTGTCTTGGTAACTATGGAAAAATCTGTTTCTATTCGCTATTAGTGTCTTGGTAACTATGGAAAAATATGTTTCTGTTTGCCATTACTGTCTTTGTAACTATAGAAAATCTGTTTCCTTTCACCATTAGTTTCATGATACACCTGTTTCTTTAATGTAGAACACCTATCATACATGTAACAATATAATTTTCATATAGTTGATTTTGAAACTTAGTGTTCATGTGATTACTTTAAGTGTATTATGGGTGTCATTTGAGTAATAAAATAATTATCTATGGTAACATGGTTATGGTCTGAATAATAGAGTAATTTTTAGAATGCTATTTATAAATTAAAAAGATAATCTGGTTTTTAATTTAAGTAACATAGATGTTAGTTTGTTGTCAATTTTATTGTTGTAAAATAAAAAAAATACATACTTTGGCACATTAAATATATCAACATTTCAATGCTAGGTGTAAGTATTAAACCCAAATATGGATAGCTAATGTGAATGGTAAATATGTTCAAAATACAACCTTGAGCTTTAAGTGCTGTTAAACCAACTTCTAGCCCAATGTTTATTTATGTACAGAGTGGTCCAAAATTCAGTTGCTCCAGAGCAGTATACTAATTCCTTTTATTCCTTATCCATTTCTGGTTAATGTATATGACCAGTATTTAAGTATGTATCACAGACCAATGATGGACCAGTGAGCTTTGGATATGAAATTTGATACACAAAGAAGAGATTTAATTTTTAGACCCATCTAATTGTCTAAACTTTGTTGATAACCAAATGAATAATTGTGTTCTTATTTAGTTTTTTTTTGTTACCTCAGGTTTCTCAGTTTAAAGCCCCATTCTAATGCCTTGTTGAGAACGACAACATCAGTTACAATGGTATCTGGAGGGGTAAAGGTAAATAATGCTGAGCTTTGTGTCTCCTCATTATCTGTGGTTAAGTAAACATAATATATGATGGGGTAAAGGTTACTGAACTTCTACTTGGTGTTTGCCCAGTAACTATGGTTAACTAAGGATCAACATCCATTTCCATGGCTCTAAAGATGAACTGGAATTTCAGGTGTGTCTCCAAACTACAGTTGAGTGAAAGATTGACATTTCAATGAAATGGGTACAACTTTCTGAATTGCAAGTATTAAAGTTTGTTTGAAGAAGCAAGATTATTCATTAGTAATATTTTGTAATGAGTGTAGTCATTGAACTGTTTCAACTCTTTGTGAAATTCCTCTTTTATTGTTTGCCTTCTAGTTAAATGTTATCCCAACTTCAGCATCAGCTGTTGTGAATCACAGAATTCATCCAGCACAAACTGTAGCTGAGGTAAGGAATCTTTCTTATTTGATATAAAGTACTTGTTTCCTTCTTTTGTACAGTTTCTGTGCTTGTTCAGTGAGTATTACCAAATTATGTTTAGTATGTCTACTTTTATGTTTGTGACCCTTCTAACAGTTGAAGCAGCTGTGAATACAGAATTAACAAATAAAGTGCTTATATTTTATGAGTCAAAGGTGACCTTGCTAACAGGAACTCTGTTTTAGAAAATAAATAAATAGCAAATTTTCAGCTCTATATGTTACCCAGATTTTTTAGATTAGATCCAAAGAAAGGTTGACAAAGATTCTGATGTGGAAAGATGAAGAAGAAAATGCAGGCAGAGACTCACTTGGCTTGATAACATTAGAAAATGGATTGAAGATGAGAAGCTTGAATTTTGGATGTTGGTGTAGACAGCAAGAAATAAAGAAAATGGAGAACTAAGAATTGAGGAGGACATTATGATAAATTGAAACCATTTATTACATATTCTGTGCTAATTATGAGCACTTCCTAATAGGTTGTTAGTAGTTTCAAGCACACACTGGCCATTACTTTGAATAGTGAAAGTTACACTGGTGAAAATAGTTTTATTGCTTGCTATGAATAAGGAGTTTTAACCATAGTAAATGTTACACCTTAATCCTGACAATTCATGTATTTCCCCTATCGAAGCATATTGATAAAGAAGAGTTGACTTTTTTTTATTACAGGTTCTAGAATATGACCAAAATCTTATAGATGACCAACGTGTAGAAATCGAAGTACTAGATGCAACTGAGCCACACCCTGTTTCTCCACATGGAGATGATGTGTTTGGATTTCAGACACTACGCAAGAGCATTTATCAGATCTTTCCTGGCAGTGCTGTAGCTCCAAGTAAGTTAACACTTCTATTTTTACACTAATAGTGCTGTAGCTCCAAGTAAGTTAACACTTCTACTTTTACACTAATAGTGCTGTACCTCCAAGTAAATTAACACTACTAGTTTTACGCTAACAGCGCTGTAGCTCCAAGTAAATTAACACTTCTAGTTTTACGCTAACAGCGCTGTAACTCCAAGTAAATTAACTCTGTTAGCGTAAAACTAGAAGTTGGAGCTACAGCGAGAAGTGTTAATTTACCAGCACTGTTAGCGTAAAACTAGAAGTGTTAATTTACTTGGAGCTACAGCACTGTTAGCGTAAAACTTTAATTTACTTGGAGCTACACTTCTAGTTTTACACTAATGGTGCTATAGCTCCAAGTAAATTAACACTTCTAGTTTTACACTAATAGTGCTGTACCTCCAAGTAAATTAACACTTCTAGTTTTATGCTAACAGTGCTGTAGCTCCAAGTAAATTAACACTACCAGTTTTACACTGATAGTGCTGTAGCTACAAATAATTTAACACTTCTAGTTTTATGCTAACAGTGCTGTAGCTCCAAGTAAATTAACACTACCAGTTTTACACTGATAGTGCTGTAGCTACAAATAATTTATCACTACCAGTTTTACGCTAACAGTGCTGTAGCTACAAATAATTTCACTTCTAGTTTTACGCTAACAGTGCTGTAGCTCCAAGTAAATTAACACTTCTAGTTTTACACTAATAGTGCTATAGCTCCAAGTAAATTAACACTTCTAGTTTTACACTAATAGTGCTGTACCTCCAAGTAAATTAACACTTCTAGTTTTATGCTAACAGTGCTGTAGCTCCAAGTAAATTAACACTACCAGTTTTACACTGATAGTGCTGTAGCTACAAATAATTT